AGAAAGACTTCAGGACCATGGACAGCTCCAATACAACAAACTGACTCAAGTTCAGCAGAGCCTTTTTATTCTTGGGCTGGAGTGCATTGTCATAACTCTAACTTGGTATGGTTCTGTGCTCAATGGCTCTGGGTGCATCTACATTGGAATTAATACTGTTGGATACCACTTTAACTGCTATGGCTCAACTCTGTAGTTTTGATTTTATTTATTTATCGTGTCAGGGGCAACCAGACTATTGTATTACTTTTCTAACAGAACAAAACAAACAGATAAAAAAAAACACAAAGTTTGCAAACTTGATAGTTAATTAAATGTCCTTTGACCAGTATCTGGCCACTTGGAGTGCCTCTGGTGTTGCCGCAAGGAGGTCCTCCATTGTGCATGTAGCAGGGCTCAGGTTGCATTGCAGCAGGTGGTCTGTGGTTTGCTCTTCTCCACACTCGCATGTTGAGGATTCCACTTTGTAGCCCCATTTCTTAAGGTTGGCTCTGCATCTCGTGGTGCCAGAATGCAGTCTGTTCAGCACCTTCCAAGTCGCCCAGTCTTCTGGGTTCCCAGGAGGGATTCTCTCATCTGGTATTACCCACGGATTGAGGTGCTGGGTTTGATCCTGCCACTTTTGGACTCTTGCTTGCTGGGGTGTTCCAGTGAGTGTCTCTGTAGATCTAAGAAAACTATTTCTTGATTTAAGTTGTTGACGTGCTGGCTGATATCCAAACGGGATGAGCTGGAGATGTCACTGCCTTGGTCCTTTCACTATTGGCTGCTACTTCCCGGCAGATGTCAGATAGTGCAATACTGGCTAAGCAGTGTAATTTCTCCAGTGGTGTAGGGCGCAGACACCCCGTGATAATGCGGCATGTCTCATTAAGAGCCACATGCACTGTTTTAGCATGGTGAGATGTGTTCCACACTCAGCAGCAAGGGCAGTTGTCTTCACTGTGTCTGGTTGTGATCCCCAGGTTGTGCCAGTCAGTTTTCGTATGATATTGTTTCTAGCACCCACTTTTTGTTTGATGTTCAGGCAGTGCTTCTTGTAGGTCAGAGAACGGTCCAGAGTGACTCCCAGGTATTTGGGTGCGCTGCAATGCTCCAGTGGGATTCCTTCCCAGGTCATCCTCAGAGTTTTGATAGTTTTGATAGTAGATGGAGGTAAAAGTAAAAGTTTTCCCCTGATATTAAGTCTAGTCCTCTCTGACTCTGGGGGTTGGTGCTCATCTCCATTTCTTTCTTTTTTAAAAAATAGATTTTTATTTTATTTGAAGGAATAAGAAAATACTGATATTGTATTTTGCTAATAATATAATATATTGTGTGAAAATATATATTGTAAGCCACTCTGAGGCCCCTTCGGGGTGAGAAGGGCGGCATATAAATGCTGTAAATAAAATAAATAGTTTTTCTTGTTTAATATTCCAAGTAAAGTGGGGAAACAATTTAATTAAAGGAAAGTAGGAAAAAAGAAAGAGAGGGAAGTGGGTACAACCTGGGAGAACTGAATAACAACAAAAACGAGAACAAATATATAAAAATAATCATATATTACTATATTGCACTATACCATTATATTGTAATTCATTAGTAATAATACATGTAATTAAATATATAATTATAATTATAATATTGTATTATTATTACTAGTATTATATTGTATTACATTATAATATTATAAATTTATTTATTTATTTACTTTATTTCTATACCGCTTTTCTCAGCCCTTAGGTGACTCAAAGCGGTTTACATAATACAGAATATCACCGGGGTAGTTGTAGTCTTACCTGGTCTTTTTGCCTTTTCTGCCAAAGAGGACCAGGCCTCGCCTAACTACTCATTCCAGGACTCCACGGCATTGAGCCATGGCAGTTAAACTGGTGCCAAACTGCATTAATTGTACAATGTAGATGTATCCCCCATGACTTCCCCATCTAAACGGTTCCAACTCCTGGCTACTATTCAGGAGGCAAAGCATTTAGCATGGCTAATTAACATTTTTTGGAAATTTTACTTTTTGTACTACAGCCCCAAGTCAGGGAATCTGGGGGAATCTGGGAGCTGTAGTGCAAAATGTAGTTTCGCCAAACTCTGTTTGACTTCTGCATGACAACAAGGTGTTCCCAAGGAGCTTTTATAGAGAGTTTGCCAGTTCCAGAAGTGATGAACTTCTTTTGGTTGTTGCATGAATGAAAATCATATGACTGCAAGCATCATTTAGTAATAGAAGACTGGGCTCGACACCAAGGTACCCACAGGTATAAGGAAATTTGACTAAATCCATGGCACTCTCACTAATGGAAAGCTTATGTGCCAAAAAAGAAGAGAGAGATGGGGAATGCAACTTTTGCTAAATGGGAAAATATGATCTCTTTTAGGTGAGATGTTTGCGAATTATTTATAACTCTTTGCTCCATTTGCTCCAACCCTAACACCAAAGGATCACAATCTTAGACTTCAGCGCTTCTCCCAAAACTGGTCCAACCTACCCAAAATCAACGAGATCTGGCTACCAGTATTTATTTACTTTATTTACTGTTATAATTTTAAACTCAAACACAGGAGAACTCCAGACAAGAAACAATCAGGAACACCTAATCACTTCTCAACAAAAGATTCCCCCAGGCAGTAACAACTCACACCTAAAAATATGTGTGTGTGAATCATATATATCTATCTATATCTATGGCTGGATGGCTCTTTGTCAGGAGGGCTTTGATTATGTTTTCTTGCCCTGGTGAAGGGAGTTGGATTGGATGGCCTTAGGTATTTTCTGTTGGTCAGGGGGGTTCTGTGTGAGAAATTTGACCCAATTTTGTCATTGGTGGAGTTCAGATTTTAGGTGTACTATAAATCCCAGCAACGACAACTCCCACATGTCAAGGTCTACTTCCCCCAACCTCCATCTGTGTTCACATTTGGGCATATTGATTATTCATGCCAAGTTTGGTCCAGATCCATCATTGTTTGAGTCCATAGTGCTCTCTGGGTGTAGATGAACTACAACTCCCAAACTCAAGGTCAATGCCCACAAAACCCTTCTAGTGTTTTCTGTTGGTCATGGGAATCCTGTGTGCCAAGTCTGGTTCAATTCTATCATTGTGTGGGTTCAGAATGCTCTTTGATTGTAGGGGAACTATAAATCCAAGCAACTACAACGCCTAAGTGACAAAATAAAAAAATTGTGATGGTCACTCCTTGCGTTAGTAGGTGTCTTGTGTCCAAATTTGGTGTCAATTCACCCAGTGGTTTTTGAGTTCCGTTAATCCCACAAACGAACATTACATTTTTATTTATATAGACTAGCTGTACCCTCCACACATTGCTGTGGCCAACCTTCCCTCCCTCTTTCTCTCCTTCCTTTCCTCTACTTCTTTCTTCCTATTTATCTTCTTCTTTCTTCCATCTCTACCTGTTTCTTTCCTCAATTTCTTTGCTCTTTGGTTACATCCTCCCTTCTTTCCCTTTCCCTTTTTTTATTTCCTTCTCTCCTTCCTTGTTTCTCTCCCTTTCTTTCTTTCCTTCCTTCTTTTCCTCCCTCCTTCCCCCTTTCCCTCCTTCATTCCTTCCCTCTTTCCCTCCTTCTCTCATTACTTCTTGACAGTCCCTTCCAATTCTATTCTGTAGGTCTATTTAATTTGTATTATATAGTAATATATAATAGTAAAATATTATATAGTAATGTATATAACAATATATAAAATATTGTATTTTTATCTTACATAGAAAGAAGGAAAGGAAGAAGGAAGGAAGGAAGGAAGGAAGGAAGGAAGGAAGGAAGGAAGGAAGGAAAGAAGTGGAAGGGAGGAAGGGAATGAAGGGAGGAAGAAAGAGTGAAGGAGGAGGAGGAAGAAGGAAGAAGGAAAGGAAGGAGGGGAAGAAGGAGGAGGAAGGAAATGAAGGGGAAAAATGAAAGGGAAGAGGAGGAGGAAGGAAGGAAGGAAGGAAGAAGGGAAAGGAAGGAGTGGGTGAAGAAATGAGGGAGGGAAGGAAATGAAGGAGGAGGAAAGGGAGGGAGGGAGGGAGGAAGGAAGGAAGAAGGGAAAAGGAAGGAGTGGGGAAGAAGGAGGGAGGGAAGGAAAGAAGGGGAAGGAAGAAGAAAGGGAAGGAGAGGAAAGGAGGGAGGAGGAGGAGAAGGGAAAGGAAGGAAGGAAAAGAGAGGGAAGGGAAGGGAAGAGGGAATGAAGGGAAGGAAGGAAAGGAAAGAAGGAGGGACAGGAAGGAAGGAAGGAAGAAGGGAAAGGAAGGAGTGGGTGAAGAAAGGAGGGAGGGAAGGAAATGAAGGGGAAGGAAATGAAGAAAGGGAAAGGAGGAGGAAAGGAAGGGAGGGTGAAAGGAAAAGAAGGAAAGGAAAGGAAGAAGGAAGGAGGGACAGGATGGAAGGGAAGGAGGGAAAGAAGGAAAGGTAGGAGGGAGGGACAGGAAGGGAAGGAAGGGGGGGAAGGAAAGGAAGGGAAGGAAGGAAGAAAAGGGGGGAGAAAAGAAGGGAGTGAGGGAGAGGAGGAGTGGAGAACATACATTGGGTTGTTAGGTGTCTTGTGTCCAAATTTGGTGCCAATTGCCCCAGGGGGGTTTTGAGTTCTGTTAATCCCACAAACGAACATTACATTTTTATTTATATAGATTATATTATTATGATTATTGTGGATTTCAATGGCTTCTCTGTGTAGCCTGACATGGTAGTTGTGAAGAGTGGTCCGGCATTGTGAATAATAGCATTGAGTAGCCATGAAGCTGCAGTATATCTCATAGGCTACAACCTCCAGGATGCCCTATAATATTTCCATAATATAATATGTCCATAAAATGATAATAGCAATGTGTCCCCTGAACTCCCCTGGCTGGAGGAGCTCTTTTGCGCATGCGCACCTGCTGCGGCCAGACTCCTCTCTTTCTCTCCACCTAGCATGGACTCTACTACATAGCCGGGCTCTATTTCCCTGGCGCGCGCATGCGCACTTCGCCCTCTCGATCCCAATTGCCGCTGAGGCGGCGCCGGTGTCGGGAGCGCGCACGTAAGAGAAGGCGAGAGCGAGCCCAGCCGAAGAGGATCCCCTCTTCCGTCAGGCGAGAGAGAGGGAGGCGGCGGCGGAGGAGGAGGAAGGAGGCCGCCATGCATCTGCACCAGGTGCTCACCGGGGCCGTCAACCCGGGCGACAACTGCTACTCGGTGGGCAGCGTCGAGGACACCCCCTTCACGGTGAGGAGGATGGTTTGGACCAAGGCAAACCCTCATCATCATCCCCCCCCCTTTTTTACTCTGAGTTGGTTTGGCCCAGCTCGGCCTCTCCCTTCAGAAAGGCCGAGCTGGGCCAAACCAATACAGAATAGAGGGGGGGGGAGTGGGGGATGTCATTGTGAGAATGATGCCAATGACATTAGGTTTTTCAAATCCCTATCTGGGAATTCTCTCCCCCCCTTTAAAAAAAAAAGGCTGACTGGGGCAATTAATATGTCTGAATTGTTGTTATTGTTGTTGTTATTATTATTATTGTTGTGATACATTTGCACCCACTTTGCCCCAGGAAGCTCACAGTTTATATATATATAGAGAGAGATGCTTGCAAACTCATCCTTGTGTGCATTATATAATGTGGACATATCAGATATACTGGTACTGATGCCATTATAATTAATTATTTGTGTGTGTGTGTGTATATATATATATATATATGTGGTACTGGTGCCATTGTTATTACTTATTTCTGTTTGTGTGTGTGTGTGTATATTCACATATCAGATATACTGGTTCTGATGCCATGATTATTATTATTTGTGTGTGTGTATATATTCACATATCAGATATACTGGCACTGATGCCATTATTATTATTCATTTGTGTGTGTGTGTGTGTGTGTGTGTGTGTATATGGTACTGGTGCCATTGTTATTACTTATTTCTGTGTGTGTGTGTGTATAATATGTGTATTTCACATATCAGATATACCGGTACAGATGCCATTATTATTATTTATTTGTGTGTGTGTATATATTCACATACCAGATACACTGGTACTGATGCAATTATTATTATTATTATTTATTTGTGTGTGTGTGTATATATATATATATGTATATATATATATATATATATATATATATATATATATATATATATGGTACTGGTGCCATTGCTATTACTTATTTCTGTTTGTGTTTGTGTGTGTGTGTGTATAACATATCAGATACACTGGTACTGATGCCATTATTATTATTATTATTTATTTGTATGTGTGTGTGTGTGTGTGTATTTACATATCAGATACACTGGTACTGATGCCATTATAATTATTATTTATTTGTGTGTGTGTGTGTGTGGTACTGGTGCCATTGTTATTACTTATTTCTGTTTGTGTGTGTGTGTGTATTCACATATCAGATACACTGGTACTGATGCCATTATTATTATTATTACTTATTTGTGTGTGTCTGGTGTCTGCCTATATATATATATATATATATAGAGAGAGAGAGAGAGAGAGAGAGGTGCTGATGCCATTATTATTATTTATTTCTGTTTGTGTGTGTGTGTGTATTCACATATCAGATATACTGGTACTGATGCCATTATAATTATTTATTTGTGTGTGTCTGCATATATATGGTACTGATTCCATTATTATTGATTTCTGTTTGTGTGTGTGTATATATATATATATACATATATATACATATATTCACATATCAGATATACTGGTACTGATGCCATTATTATTAAGTATTTATTTATTTGTGTGTGTACACACACACATATCATACATTTGGACATATCAGATATACTGGTACTGATTCCATTATTATTATTTATTTGTCTCTCTCTCTCTCTGTGTATATGTGTATGTATATTTATATGTATATGCACACATACATATAATGTATGTATATACACACATACATTTAGACATACTGGTGCTGATGGTACTTGTGCCATTGCTATTATATATGTGTGTATTAGGGCTGGGCGGTTTCGTTTCGTTAATTCGTAATTCGTTAATAATTCATTATTTTTTTCAATTACAAAACGATAACGAACCATTCTGGAGCAATTTTTAAAAAAACGAATTTTCAAAAACGTTTTGTAAATGCTTCGTATTTCGATATTGTATTCGTTTCGTTATTGTTTTGAGGTCGTGTCGTTATTATTTCCGCATGTCTGGGCCAGTTTTATGGTTTAATTAGTGAAAAAAAATTATAATATCACACCAACAGTCAACAACAGAGGGAGAGGGAAGCTTCAGAAGGTTTTGGAGGTTTTTTAGCGTATTTTCGCGGTCGCGTCCGCCATTAACGAATCGATTCGTTATTGTTTCGGAAATCGATTCGTTAATTTTTTACCATTTACGAAATTTCGTAAATATCGAACTTTTTAAAAGGAAAATTTTGTAATTATTTTAAATATCAAAACAAAAAAACCCCCCAAATATAAATCGATTTTAGAAACAAATTTTTCTGTTGTTACCCAGGCCTAGTGTGTGTATATATATATATATATATATATTTCAGCACTTTTATCTCGATAGAGATACAAAGCCACTCCCAACCTGAAGAAACAGTGTGGTTTAAAATTCACAACATGCACATATTAAAATAGATTTAAGCAAACCAGTCAGTTAAAATCCCATAAAGCATTTAAAACATTTTTAAAAAGTCAAATAACACTACAGCACCCCCTTGGCTTGAGATAGATAGATGAGACAGATGCATAGACTCTTGTCTTGTTGGGTTTTTTTTTTTTTTGGAGGGGGGGAGTGTTTGTTTTTCTAGTTTTTCTTCCTCTATTTAAGCAGTTTCATTTTTTCTTGGTCTCTTCTTGCTGTATAATTTGCTTAAAAGTTGAAAAAAATTAAAGACCATATAGGGTTGTATATGTCATACATGTTGTATATACATTAATGCAGGTGTACACATAAGCACGAGCTTGATTTGATTATTTTGCAATTCTGAATAGAAATCAATTCTGGGAGACAAAAAGAGCCGACAGTGTTCTGTAGGCATATAGCTCTTGTCTTTATGGTTGTCTATAGATGTATATATTAAGTACAAAACCACAAAAGTACATACGTTCTATGTATATGATGCCTGTGCTGGGTTGTGTAGTTGATCCCAAAGAGGCTCACAATGTAATGTATTTGGTACTGTGTATATGCTGCTTATCTGTGTTTGTCTTTCGGGGTAGATTAATGTCTGTGGTTTCCTTTATCTCTCTTTATCTCGCTGAGTTGCTGGGGAACTGGCTGAGGGTTAAAGATTACTAATAAATGCATAGGAAATTCCTATAGTGTCCCAGCGGGGTTTTAAGTGAATAATTGAGGGTGATGGGTGGGCAGTAAAGTTGACCATTGACTATACATATGCACATACATGGCCTGGCCTCTTTCGTTGGTATGTTTTGAGATAGATCTTGTAGAAATCAGGCAGCAAAGCTTCTCATAACATAGAAGATCAAGTGGCTGTTGGCTTGGCCTATACCTCTCGCCCATACCTTCCTTGTAGTGAAGATTACCTATCTTTAGGTAGGGAAAAATGCAATTATTCATGAAGACTGAAACAGTGTGCTGGGCCTTCCTTGTGCAGTGATTATTTATAGATGGGGGCTGTAGGCAGTCTAGCTTCTCAAGTGTGTTGCTAGAGGCGTGTTGAAATACCAGGACAGAGCTGGTGGCAAGTCACTGCTGTCTGGTTTTCCATCCACACTGTAGAATTATTGCACTTTGACTGCCCTAGCTCCATCCTGTGTAATATCAGGATTTCTTGTTTGCTGTAGCACCTTCTCTGTCAGAGAAGGGCAAATATCTCACCAAACTACAAACCCCAGATTCCTATGGCAATCATTGTGGTGTCAAACTGGGGTGATTCTGCAGTGTGGATACAACCTAGATTAGGTTGGGTTGTTTAGTTGCTCAGATGAAATACCAGCATTGGCCTTGCCTCCTTTTATGTTTTCCTGATGTAATTACGTGCTTCCAGTCCCCCATCCCCCCCCCCCCAAGTGCAATAATGACTTTTTTCATGTCAGGAGAAACTGCAAGTCACTTCTGGTGTGAGAGGATTGGCCGTCTGCAAGGACGTTGCCCAGGGGATGCCCAACTCTCACCAGATTCGAACCGCTGACCTATCGGTCAGTAGTCCTGCCAGCACAAGGATTTAACCCATTGCACCACCGGGGGCTCCAGTAATGACTTTAGGCCCCCCCTTTTTTTGTCGTGTCAGGAGCATTAAAATGAGAAACTGCAAGTCACTTCTGGTGTGAGAGGATTGGCCGTCTGCAAGGACGTTGCCCAGGGGATGCCTGGATGTTTGATGTTTTTACCATCCTTGTGGGAGGCTTCTCTCATGTCCCCACATGGGGAGCTGGAGCTGACAGAGGGAGCTCAACCCACTCTCCCCAGATTCAAACTGCTGACCTGTCAGTCAGCAGTCCTGCCAGCATAATGTTAATAGAATAAAATAATAAATACTATCATAATAGTTTTGTTTTTTTTGTCATGTCAGGAGCGACTTGAGAAACTGCAAGTCGCTTCTGGTGTGAGAGAATTGGCCGTCTGCAAGGACGTTGCCCAGGGGACGCCCGGATGATTTGATGTTTTATCATCCTTGTGGGAGGCTTCTCTCATGTCCCCGCATGAGGAGCTGGAGCTGACAGAGGGAGCTCATCCGCCTCTCCCCGGATTGAACCTGCGACCTGTCGGTCTTCAGTCCTGCCGGCACAGGGGTTTAACCCACTGTGGGGAGATAAATGCTTATCTGAAATAGTCCAGCTTCCCACAGAATATGGAGTAACACTGTTCTCTGATATGACATTGAGAAGTGGGCTCTCTCTCTCTATATATATATATTCAAATAAAATATAATGTATGATTATATGAAATGCAATGTCCTGTGTTCTGATAAAAATATATTTAGTTGCAGCTGTCTCAAATACTTTTTCAGTCATTGATGAGCTTTGTCATTGAACGCCATTGAATGGAATATAAATATTGGCTCAAAATAAAACTGGAAGGGAGAGAGAGAGAGATCTGACCGCTCACAAAATGCTCTCTCCTCCTGCCCTGTAGTTTATTAGCTTATTTACTTGTGAAATACTGATATTTATAATTTGGGAAAATATGTTGTACATGTTAATCTTTATGACAGAGTAATGCAAGCCTTTTTGGTTATTTCTGCTACATTATGCTGAATATTATATCTATAGCAAGAACCT